AGGTTTAAATCTGTAGCTTGTTTTGTGATATGGTCAATCATATGTATATTTTTTTAATTAAATCTTGGTTAGGAGCCTGCTTACACTTTGAGTACTTGGTATTCCTTAACAGGGGTAATGTTCCATCCTAGAAGTTTTATATTTGTTTCAAGATTTGATTTTATTCTGACAATGATTGGCAAAGGCAGGGATGCTAGATTCTCTGCAGTGCACTGGAAAGTCTTGTCCAGGAAAGAATCATCTTGCCTCTCAAAAAGTATACAGTGTGTGTGTGTGTATGTGTGTGTGATTTCAGCAAAGAATTAATTTCATCTTACTTATAAGCACAAGGCACTAGTCCCACAATTTTAACATACTCTCAATGTTCCAGGAAGACAATTAAGGTAAATTGACAATATTTTACTTCATTTATTCAGAACTTTTATAAGAGATGCTCAACATTTAATAAAATGATAGGTTCCGGAACAATACTGCTTATGGTGTGTGAGTTAAGAATATAAGGGGTGCCTGCGTGGCTCAGTTGGTTAAGCGTCTGACTTCGGCTCATGTCATGATCTCACGGTTCATGGGTTCAAGCCCCACATCAGGCTCTTTGCTGACAGGTATCTCATAGCCTGGAGTCTGTTTCAGATTCTGTATCTCCCTCTCTCTCTGACCCTCCCCTGCTCACACTGTCTCTCTCTCTCTCAGAAATAAATAAAACATTAAAAAAATTTTTTTAATTAAAAAAAGAATATAAAGCAGACTAAAATCCTTCATGTAAGCTGTAGCAGTTGCCATTACCATGATCCTAAATGGATACAAGAATCCAGGTACTTTATGGGATTGTGTGTGTGTGTGTGTGTGTGTGTGTCTAATGATTTAAGTGATACTCTCTTAGCAAATTCCAATTACACAATGCAGTATTATCAGCTGTTATTGTCACTATTAGATCCTCAGACCTTATTCATCTTATAATTGAAAGTTTGCACTTTCTACCAACCTCTCCATATTTCCCCTGCCCTCTAGACTCTGGCAATCACTTTTCCACTTTTTGTCTCTGTGAGTTCAACTGTTTTTACATTCCACATATAAGTGATGCCATACAGTATTTGTCTCTCTGTGTCTGGCTTATTTCACTTAGCATAATGCTCTCCAGGTCCATTTATATTGTTGCAAATGACATAATTTTCTTCTTTTTTAAAAGGCTGACTAATATTCTTGTGTGTGTGTGTATGTGTGTGTTATATGTATATATCACATCTAATAAACATCCAAACAGGTGTAAGGTGATGTCTTCTTGTGTTTTTTGATTTGCATATCTCTGAAGATTAGTGATGTTAAGAACCTTCCATGTACTTGTTGGCCATTTGTATGTTTTTGGAAAAATATTTATTCAGATACTTTGCCCACTTAAAAAAATTATATATTTTTGCTATTGAGTTGTATAACTTCCTTAAATATTTTGGATATTTGATGTGTGGATTGAAAATATTTTCTCCCATTCCATAGGTTGTCTTTTCATTTTGTTGATGGTTTTCTTTTTAGTTTGATGTCGTACCACTTGTTTATTTATTATTATTATTATCATTATTATTTTTGCCTTTGCTTTTGTCAGATAAAAAAAAAAAAACTCATTGTCAAGACCAATGCCAAGGAGCTTTTTCCCTATGTTTTCTTCTAGGAGTTTATGGTTTCAGATCTTGTGTTCACGTTTTAATTTCTTTTGAGTTGATTTTTGTGTGCCATGTTAGACAGGGGTCCAGTTTGATTCATTTTCATTTGGCTCTATAGTTTTCCCAGCATCACTTATGAAAGACACTATCCTTCACCCAGTGTATACTCTTGACTTAATTTGTAGTAAGTTATTTGATCTTACATGAGCAAGTTTCATTTTGGACTCTCATTCTGTTCCATTGACTCTGTGTCTGTTTTCATGCTAATATCATACTGTCTTGATTAGTATAGCTTTGTAGTACAGTTTGAAATCAGGAAATATGTCTCAAGCTGGATTCTTTTTCCTCAAGATCATTTTCACTATTGGGGGTCTTTTGTGACTTCATACAAATTTGAAATCTTTTTCTGTGTCTGTGGAAATGCCATTAGGAGTTTGATAGGGAGTATATAGAATCTGTAGGTCGCACCAGTTAGTATGGGCTTTTTAACCTATTAACCCTTTCAATTCATGGGTATAGAATATCGTTTCCATTTGCATCTTCTTCAATTTTTTTTTCATCAAAATCTTACAGTTTTCGGTATATAGGTCCTTTATCTCCTTGTTAAAATGCATTTTTGAGTATTTTCTTGATGCCATTATAAATTGGCTGTTTTCTTAATTTCAGTTTCTGATAGTGTATGGAAAAGCAACTGATTTTTGTATATTGATTTTATGTTCTATATTTTTACTGAAATTGTTTATTAGTTCCAACAGTTTTTGGTGAAATCTTTAGGGTTTTCTATATATAGTATCCTGTCACCTGTAAAAAGAGGCAATTTTACTTTTTCCTTTCAATTTAGGTCCTCTTTTTCTTTTTTTTGCCTAATTGTTCTGGCTGGGACTTCCAGTACTCTGTTCGATAAAAGTGGTGAGAGTGGTTATTCTTATTTTGTTCCTGATCTTAGACGAAAAGCTTTCACCTTTTCATTGGTTTTTGATGTTTTGTTGTTGTTGTTGTTGGGAGGTTTTTGATTACTGATTCAGTCTCCTTATTGGTCTGTTAAGAGTTTATATTTCTGGGGTGTCTGGGTGGCTCCATTGGTTGAGTGTCTGACTCTTGATTGCGGCTCAGGTCATGATATCATGGTTCCTGGGTTTGAGCTGCGTATTGGGCTCTGTGCTGATGGTGTGGAGCCTGCTTGGGATTCTCCTCTCTTCTTCTCTCTGTGCCCATCCCCAGTTGTGTGCTCTCTTTCTCTTTCTCTCAAAATAAATACACATTAAAAATGTATACTTCTTCATGACTTACTCTTTGTAGGTTGTATGTTTCTAGGAATTTATTTCCTCTAGGTTGTCTAATTTCTTGGGATATAATTGTTTGGAATAGTCTTTTATGATCCTTTGTATTTTGTGGTGTCAATGGTAATGTCTCCTCTTTCATTTATTTGAGTCCTTTCCCTTTTTTTCTTGGCAAGTCTAGCAAACAATTTGTCTATTTTGTTTCTTTTCAAAACACAGCTCTTAGTTCTTTTGATTTTTTCTATTGTCTTTTTAGTCTCTATTTCTCTGATCTTTGATATTCCTTCTTTCTGTTAAATTTGTGCTTAATTTGTTCCTTTTCTAGTTCTTTTTTTTATTTTTTAAATGTTTATTTATTTTTGAGGGAGACACAGTGCGAGCAGGGAAGGGCAGAGAGAGACAGACAGACAGACAGAATCTGAAGCAGGCTCCAGGCCCTGAGCTGTCAGCACAGACCCTGACATGGGCTTGAACTCACAAACTGCAAGATCATGACTTGAGCCACAATTGAATGCTTAATGAACTGAGCCACCCAGGCACCCCTCAAGTTCTTTGAGGTATCAAGTTAGTTTGAGACCTTTCATATTTCTTAATATATGCATTTATTACTGTCAACTGCGTATAATTGCTTTTGCAGCAACCCCTAAATTTTGGTATGTTTATTTCCTTTTTCATTTGTCTCGTGCTATTTTTTTTTTTTTTTCTATTTTGATTTCTTTGGTGCATTGGTGGTTGAGGAGCATGCTGTTTAATCTCCATATACTTGTGAGTTTTCCAGTTTTGTTCTTGTAATTGATTTCTAGTATCATACCATTATGGTCAGAAAAGATATTTGATAGGATTTCATTCTTTAAAAAATTTTTAAGACTTATTTGAGACCTTACATATGATCTATTCTGGAGAATGTTCCATTACCACTTGAGAAGAACATGTATTCTGCTGCCGTTGGATGAAATGTTCTGTATATTTCTATTAGGTCCATTTGATCTAAAATGTAGTTCAAGTTCAATGTTTCCTTATTGGTTTTCTGTCTGGATGATCTATCTATTGTTGCAGTCCCCAGCTATTATTGTGTTGCTGTCTCTTTCTCCCTCCATATTTGTTAATATCTGCTTTAAATATTTAGGTGCTTCTAGGGGCGCCTGGGTGGCTTAGTCATGATCTCGTGTTTCGTGGGTTCGAGCCCCGCGTCGGGCTCTGTGCTGACTGCCAGCTCAGAGCCTGGAGCCTATTTCGGTGTCTGTGTCTCCCTCTCTCTCTGACTCTCCCCTGCTCACGCTGTCTCTCTTTCTCTCTCTCTCCTAGAAATAAATAAAAATATTAAAAAAAAATATTTAGGTGCTTCTATACTGGATGCATAAATACTTAAAATTGTTCTCTCTTGATGAAGTTTGCCTTCTAATATAGTTTTATACATTTATATATTGAAATGAACATAATTTTATTTTGAGTTAATATCCCTTTGTATCCCTATATTATATCTAGGGCATTATATTGATCTTTAAATTACTTATATAAGCAGGTGATACTATATATAAACTTTAATTCAGAGACTGTATAATTTATTTTAGCTTATGATAATGAGAGGAGTATTAAAAGTCTATATTTGGGGTACCTGGGTGGCTCAGTTTGGTAAGTGTCTGACTTTGGCTAGGGTCATCATCTCACTATTTGTGAATTTGAGCTCCACATCGTGCTCTGTGCTGGCAGTTCTGAAGCTGGAGCCTGCTTCATATTTTGAGTCTCCCTCTCTCTCTCTGCCTCTTCCTACTCGCGCTCAGTCTCTCTCTCTTAAAAAAATAAAGCATTAAAAAAATCTGTATTAATAAAATAGAGAGTTGGGTCTAATAAGGCTAAGAAGCTCTGAAGTAGAGCTCAGTCTACCTGTGGGAACTCACCACGCTTTCTCACACAGTTAGATTTATGGAGTATTGTAGTTATGTATTGTTGCATCTATTAGTTCTCTATTGTCATATAACAATATTATCACAAAGTTAGTGGATTAAACCAGCACACATTTATCATCTTGCAGTTTTAGTGGGTCAGGGGTTTGGACATGGCTTACCTGGGTTGTTTGCAAGAATATAGTGCAGGTGTTGGCTGGGGCTTCACTTTGATCTCACCATGTGTTTGTAGAAGGATCTGCTTCCTGCCTCGTGTGATCATTGTGAGAATTCAGTTTCTTAATGTCTTTTGGAATAAGGATCTCAGTTTGTTGCTGGTTATTGGCTGAAGGCCACCTTTACTTTTTTCCTGTGTGGGCCTCTTCAGTATGACCATTTGCTTTCTTGAAGCCACTAGGGGAGACGGTCTGTAACCGAGAGAGACAGTGCAGTTTTACATAATCATGAGAGTGACAGCACATCAATTGTCCTGTATTCTCCTGGTAAGAAGCAAGTTATAGATCCTACCCATACTCATGGGGAAGGTATTACACAAGAGCATGACTAATAGGACACAGGGTAAATTGGGGAATGTTTTAGGATTCTTTTTGCTATAGCCAGCTTCCCATGGCAGCACTGGGGAAGAGGATGAATTCTTGGGATTAAAGTGGCTGTCATTGTATTTTATAGTATTTGCTTTATTTTATTATTTTTTAATGAAAAGTTATTTAATCCATTGATTTGAAGCTCATTGTTCTCAGAGAAGAGGAAACACTGATTACTAGAACAGGGTTCTAGTTTTCTTATTCTAGAATTTATTCTAGAAATTATACCAAAATTTCTTAAATTTTCTTATACTAGAAAGGCCTGGCTAATTAGATGTGTATTAATCTGATGGGAAGTAGCTAATTTCTGTAGAGATATAATGCAGTGATATGGGAGTAGATTAGCCACATTTTATGCAACTTAAAAAGAGTTTTCATTCAGGTGATTCAACTAGCTCTCAGGTCATTCGGGGTTTGAACGAGGGTTAGATCCAGAAGGGAGAGAAAGCATTTAAAGAGCCTAATTTATTCATTATAGAAATGTTTATTAAGTAACTGCTATTCTTGTCAATATTTTAGAGGGAGGGAGAGAGACAGAGAATCTGCCCTTGTGAAGCTTATAGTAGATGCTAAACAACATTTTAATCATGGGATGAGGGTTGTTCTTCCTTTAAGCAAGGTTGAGTTGTCCATGGGGGAAGAACATGGGTCTTGGAAGCACACATCCATGGATTAAAATGATAAGTATCCTTCCCAGCTTTGTGATCTTAGCTTACAAATGATACCCTCTGATCCTTTATGTCTTCTAGTGAAGAAATGGGTCTGATAATACCTACCTGATAGGATTTTTGTGAAGATTTTGTGAGATTGCGTATATAAAGCATGCAGTATACAGAGGTTTCTCACTGAATGCTAAATCTCTCCTCCTTTTCTCACCTTGCGGTAAAATAGACTGTTACAAATTAGCTGTAAAGACAGACTTTGAGGGGTGCCTGGGTGGCTCAGTCAGTTGAGCATCTGACTTAGGCTCAGGTCATGATCTCACCAACCATGAGTTCAAGCTCCACATTGGGCTCTGTGCTGACAGCTCAGAGCCTGGAGCCTGCTTCTGATTCTCTGTCTCCCTGTCTCTCTGCCCCTTCCCCACTCACACTCTGTCTCTCTCTCCTTCAAAAATAAATAAACATTAAAAAAAAAAAGACAGACTTTGATACTGAGCCTCCTTCACAATATTCTACAAAAGTCATAAGTAAGAAATATTTAAACAGTCATCCAGAACAAAATCTCTTTGGTTACATACAGTTCTTTTTTTTAACATAAGATCTCGCAATAATTCTCAGAGTTGCTTCTTTGTTATTTTACTATGGCTAGTGCATCCTAATTGCCTAATTACACAAAAGACATGAATGGCTCAAAGGTATATTTCTGCTTGATTACATAAATACTATTCTCTTTGAAAATGCATGGATATAGATATAAATCAATAGACAAGAACATATGCATTTATCTATTTTGAAATAATCCGGTTTATCAACTCACAGATTTTATTTTGTTGGTGGGAATTGGGGATGAAGAGTGGACTCCCACAGCCATGTATCAACATGACATTCCTTGATTTATATTTTCAACATTCATTTCTTTCATTCATTCAACATTGTTTTTATTTCAGGTTCTCAGTATTGAAAAATAACTATCTATGGGGCACCTGGTTGGCTCAGTTGGTTAAGCGTCAGACTTAGACACAGGTCATGATATCATTGTTCGTGGATTTGAGCCCTGTATTGGGGTTTGTGCTGACAGCTCAGAGCCTGGAGCCTGCTTCAGATTCTGTTTCTCTCGCTCTCTGCGCTCCCCCCACTCACGCTCTAGGTCTCTCTCTCAAAAATAAAAATAAAAATATAAGAAAATACTTTATAAAAAGAAAGAGCTATCTATTTGGTGTGTAATGAATGACAAAGCCAGAAAATAAATTTCTTTTGGAGAAGTTGAGCTCTGTCAAAAATCTTTTTATTGAACTACAAGCAGAGTAGCCTAATTAAGTAATTTTATTCATTTAGAACTCAAATAATACTTTCCAGGTTTTCTTTTCAGTAGGTAATGAAGTGGGCTAATCTGAAGTGAAATGTTAGATTAGATCCTGCTGTTCTTTAGTGGGAGTTACTTAACATCTCTGTTGTTTTGAAATTCCCATTTTCTGTGACATAAATTCTATGAAATAACAGAATCCTAGTCATCATGGGGAAGTATTTATCATTATTTACTTGCTTTAAAATTTATTTTTGACAGGATGTAACTCAGATAGAATTTTGATGGTTTTGTGATTCTGTAATTTCTTTGGTTGTCACTTAAAATATTCTCCCAGAGGTTTAATTTGTGTGTATACTGTGTCTCCCTTAATAGCTTATAGCCCCTTAAGAACAGGAGAGCTGTTTTGTACATTGCAATTGATCAGCGAATGTGTTAATAGTTATTATTTAGATAATGAAAATAAGTAGTCTCCTATCCATTTCCTATGGGGGATCAGATAATTTTTTACTCAAAAAGTAATGGTATATTACCTTGGTTTCAGTTTCTTTGAAATATGGGAAATGCTTTACTGTAAATATCTAGGGCATCATATTTGGCACTAGTATTTATGTATTTTAAGGCCCTGTGTAAAATAAGCTTCATAGTTTGTCATACTTTGGGCTCTTGAGGGAGTAATACATAATGAAAACCTGAACTCCGAGAAATCATGAAAAGCCTTTTTAGGAATAAATGTGGAAATTATAGTTACTGAAGTGTTGTAATTGAAGAGTCAACAGCCAGCTGTAATCTCTGATAGCCATAGTGGGCCCCAGAAGACTGAGGTCCATGTGACAGTAGAGCTAGCCTGTTGTTAGCAGCAACCCCTCCTCTGAAGCATCTGTAAGAAACCTGGGGAGAGGTGCAGTCATTGTGACCCCCTCCCTTCTCTCTGCCTTCCCTTTCTGTCTTTATCGGCTAGTTAATGTATGAAATACATAGCAAAGTACAAAGGATCATAAGCTCATCTGAAACACCCATCGTCTGGAGGTAGTCACGTTTCTTTCTTAATTTTCCAGTGTGTAGATTAATGTTTATGTCATTTACATTTCTAATGGAATACGTAAGTTGGACATTAAATTTATTCACTGGTATACACATTTGGAGGAATGCAGTCGACATTTTTTGGGGGGAATTCCTAGAAAAGTTAATGAGGACTCTGAAGAGACCCAAGAGGAGAAATGGGAACTAAAATTGTAGCATAAATGGCTAAAAGAGGAACTATAGCAAAGTGGAGTAAAGGGAATTTTATGAAGTAATTTTAGAATACCTCTGGCTCTGTGAAGATGCATATCAGTTTATCAGTTTTATAACCCAATGCTTAGAGGATATGGAGTTTTTCAGTGATCTAATCTTGAGTAAATAAGGAACAAATAAAAAGAAATTATGTGTTTCTCTCTAGAATGCGTAGTCAGCTCCTGAATTTAATGCTACACATAGATGCAGGCTCATGCAGCACAGTTTGATTTTGATAAAGCCTAAATAATCATCAAATCTGAATTGATATCTCCTGCTATAAAATTATGTATTTTAAGGAAGTGTTTTTAAGATAATTGGCTCTTACAGTAGTTCTGTCTCAGAGGGGATGGTTGTGGGAGTTAACACTGGAGTAATGAATATTGACCAGGGAACATAATAGTTGAAAGAATCCAAAAGTATAAGGAGATAATGTCCCATTGTTCATAAAAATTTTAAATATAAAGGATCTTGTTGTGTGGAAAACCTTTAGAATCACTGTTGAGACAAAAGATGCCCCCTGCCCAATTTCAAGCTCAAGTAGGATTATTTTTTTTTAATAAACAGATGTGACTGATAAATTCCTCTTAAGAATTGTCAGTGCAAATAAAATGCCCATGAGAGATTCTACTCTCCACAAAAGTACTTGTCTCACACATATATATTTTCAAGTAGGTAAGGATAGAGGTGCTTAGAACAAGCAAGAGACAGTTTTTGCCATCAACATCTGTAGTCATGCCATTCAGCAGATATATCTGGTGTACTCATTATGTCTTGGACCTATGCCAGATCATGAGGAAAATGAATCTTATGCAGTTGTTTTTCACAATTTAAATGTATTGGAGTAAATATAGGAAACTTATTTTAGATAGTAATACTCAATGTTCTTGAACTTTTTGAAGTGTGAAAATTGATTAAAATTAGGTATAAAGTCATACCCACCATGTAATCATGTTGAGTTGAAGATGGTACATTTACCAATGGAAGTGTACATGTGTTCAGAGAAATGCTACCATTTATTGGAAATACAAGAAACATAAAAAATGGTTGTTTTGGCTAATAAATATAACTCTTATTTAGGCCATGAATAGTAGTAAGTGAAGGACTAAATGCATGACCAAGAGGGCAGCTATTAAAGTATATTTCTCAGTAAGAAAGAATATTAAAAATTTATCCCTCTATCAGTTCTCCATGTCCAGAATTAATTGAACAGCTGTGCTAACCTCAATTTAGCATCACTTGGTGACTACTAAAAATAATAGTGTGGAAGAATGTTTTAAAGTTTTGTTTTCTAGTAGAAGAAATATATTCTCATTATTAACAGTATGGAAATAGAAATGTAGAAGGAAGAAAATAATCGCTCATAATTCTATCATCAGAGATCATCATTATTAATGTTTTAGTACATGTTTACAGCTTTATTGCTTTGCTTAACTTTGTAAACTTATCAGTTTCTCTAATATATACAAAACGGTACATATAATTATTTTACATTTTTGATAACAAAATAAATATGTGTTCAGTTTTTGAGAAAATGAATTAATTATGAGAATAGCATAAAGAGTGGATTTGATTTTTAGAAA